AGTTTCTGTGAATGACATTTCATAAGATAATAATTGACAGTTATTAAATTCAAAGTATCCTGAACAAAATCTGTTTTACTATCAAACACATGCATATAAATCACATTTTGAGTTATAAATAAACCTTGAACACAAAGAATGAGTGTCCAGATACAGACGCTGATGATCATCATCTTCTTGCTGGTTGCTCTTTCAGTTAAAATTTAGAAAAGCTCTCAGTCATGAAGTGTTAAACTCACAGCACTATAAACACTCTCAGAGCACTGAAGCATCTGATCAATATGCAAACACACTCCACATCATTTACCAGAAGACAGTCGCTCATTAACAGACACAAAATACAATTACTGAAATGAGAGCAGAAACACCATTTTTCCATTTTGTTTGTGCAACAGCTTTGCTAGTAAGCACTAGATGCTTATGACTTGTTGCATTATTTTGAGCTCAGCTAAAACATTGTTTTAATGACCAATTTTATTAAGACTTAGATTCTGAAAATGGTTTTGTTTAATTGTAATAATTGAGAACAGCTGCGTTTAGCAGTAAATGTGAACTGAAGCTCTTGGGGTTTGAACATGGTCTCTGGAGACGGAGCTGCTCTATTCTGAGACGATCACAATCACTAAAGCTGCCAATGCAAATCTGATTTTCAGCTCAAACTCACAGTTTCACTGTTTGATCGGTTCAACGCTCTGAACTGGATCAGTTTCACTTCTGCTCATGCAATGATGAGACAGTTCTATGTTGAAATCCTCTGTCTTTCTGTCTGTGTGTGTGTGTGTGTGTGTGTGTGATAGTGTTTGAGCAGCTGCAGCATCAGTTCAGTCACTGTGACTCTGACTGACGGAGGTTTTTGTACGACTCTTTATCACTGTGTGAATATATTTATACTGTTGATGTAGTGGAAACTCAGACAGTAATAATGTCCAGCATCTTCAGTCTGGACTCCACTGATGGTCAGAGTGAAATCTGTTCCATAATTTGCTCCATTGCCACTGAATCTAGATGGAGTTCCTGACTGTCGTGAGCTAATGCCATAAATGAGGAGTTTAGGAGCTTCTCCAGGTTTCTGCAGATACCAGGAGAGACAGTCACCACAACCCCGTGAACGATCTCCGATTCCTCTGCTAGTTTGACAGTTTAAAGTAACTGTTTCTCCTGGTTGAACAGCTGCTACTGAGGGAGTCTGAGTCACAGAAATTTGTCCTGTAGTTTCTGTGAATGACATTTCATAAGATAATAATTGACAGTTATTCAATTCAAAGTATCCTGAACAAAATCAGTTTTACTATCAAACACATGCATATAAATCACATTTTGAGTTATAAATGAACCTTGAACAAAAAGAATGAGTGTCCAGATACAGACGCTGATGATCATCATCTTCTTTCTGGTTGTTCTTTCAGTTAAATGTAGAAAAGCTCTCAGTGATGAAGTGTTAAACTCACAGCACTATAAACACTCTCAGAGCACTGAAGCATCTGATCAATATGCAAACACACTCCACATCATTTACCTGAAGACAGCAGAAACACAATTTTTCCATTTTGTTTGTGCAACAGCTTTGCTAGTAAGCACTAGATGCTTATGACTTGTTGCATTATTTTGAGCTCAGCTAAAACACTGTTTTAATTACCAATTTTATTAAGACTTAGATTCTGAAAATGGTTTTGCTTAATTTTAATAATTGAGAACAGCTGCGTTTAGCAGTAAATGTGAACTGAAGCTCTTGGGGTTTGAACATGGTCTCTGGAGACGGAGCTGCTCTATTCTGAGACGATCAGAATCACTAAAGCTGCCAATGCAAATCTGATTTTCAGCTCAAACTCACAGTTTCACTGTTTGATCGGTTCAACGCTCTGAACTGGATCAGTTTCACTTCTGCTCATGCAATGATGAGACAGTTCTGAAGATTGAGTGGTAGTTTCATAAGGCAAGTTTATCATGATTGTAGTAGAATCTACAAACCACAAAAACTACATCACTGGAACTGAGAAAAAATGTTGTGTTTTTTGTTGATTTGATATAAATTTGTCTCAGAATCAGAGCCTATTTGAATGATACCCATCTGTGACAAGACAGATCACAGTCTAATAGAGCTGATTTGACTCCTAAACTCAGTTTGGAGCTCATGTGTAGTTCTGTGTTTGGTCTCTGTGTGTCAGTAGTGAGTGATAGTGTTTGAGCAGCTGCAGCATCAGTTCAGTCACTGTGACTCTGCTGTGTACGGGTTACAGCAGATGATATACTGTACATGAAACATAACACTGTTTAGGATCTTTTGTCATGTTATGAGTCAAAAACATTGACTCAAGTGTCTGAAGCTACAGACGTTCTGATGATTCAAATGACGGAGTGGCATAATTAACAAAAGTCATTTAAAATGCTATTTGTGTATTTAAATGTTCATTTTATTAGCACAGCAAATGTTAATGCTCTTATGCTATTTAATGTTGCTGTCAACATTCCGAGCTGCAGAGAAAGACACTGTAATTTTCTCATCCATTTGTCACAAAACTATATGATAATAAATGACTTTATTTTCGTCATATTTTTGATTCATGAAATTGTTTATGAAAAATCGTTATGAAGAATAGTTTTTTGTTTTGTTCATATATTCGTATGAATAAAATTCATGAAGAGTATTTGTTATGAAGTTGATTTAAATTTTCTTTATGACAAATTTTAAGAAGTTAAAAGTTAAGAAAAAAATGGAATTAGCCTGTAGTCTATAGATAACTTTTATCTTTTAATAACTTTTATTAGACTGCAGATCGAAATAAAATAATTCTCGGTAATCTTTAAAATGAGAGAAATCACTGACATAATTTAGGCTATTTGACTGCAGAAAAAAACGAATAGTCTAAAACCCATTTAATTTGCCATGTTAACTTATGAATTAAAAGAAAGTCAAGAAACAAATCACAACAAGAACAGTTGAGGTTTTTCTTGTAATCAAGAAAGCGATATTTGACAAAATTACAGAATGAATAGCCTATAAATGATGTGTGACAGTGAGCGCATCTCCACTGCATAGCTGCATATAGCCTACATCGCTGGCGTCAGTCGCAAATATTAAACGTTTTAAAAAATCTTTGTGAAAACGACTGGTTCTTGAATTCTAAGATTATAATCTTTAGTCACCACACACTATGCAACTTTTTCTGCCGACAGCGACTGAGCCCAACTGGAACAGACCCAGTCCGACTATAGGCCCGATCCGTCGTCAAGACTAAAATACATTCACAATCGGCATGATGACAGTCTGTAGTGTGTTCTCGGCTTAAGAGAAACAGTTATGTCTCTGATCTCCATGAGGAGGCAAAGGTCATTCCAGAGGTACAGGCCATTAAAACTTATTAAAATTACATTAATCATTCAAATGCTTTGATCATTTAGAAATCCCAAATGTAGATTTTTTAATAAAATGTGATCAATACATAGATTTTTTTTGAGTCAGTAGTTATTAGAAATATATTGTAGAAACTTTAATTTTCTGTAAAGCTGCTTTGCAACGATTTGTATCGTGAAAAGCGCTATACAAATAAACTTGAATTGAAAATGAGTTCAACGTCTTTATTAACTTGAGATGAAGGAGCTACTTGAGAAACTGCTCAAGAACATCTTTATGTTGCTGCTGCAACACAATGACTTTACTGTATGACTGTATAATAAGGTGAGTGTATTGTACAAAATCAAAACAGCATATTACGCCATTATTGTTTGATTTAGTCAATTTACACACTCTGTTTTCTCTGATTCTGAGCATAGTTGAGTCAAACCCGTCTGTCACAGGACAGATCACTGTAATAGAGCTGATTTCACTCCTGAGTTTTGAGCTCATGTGTAGTTGCTGTAAATTATTTAATTAATATTATTTAAAATATACACTATTCACCTTGTAGTGTAAAGCAGTATGAAAGTGTCCAGATGAAGATGATGATGAAGGTCATGTTGATGAAGATTGTTGTGTGTGTCAGTGATGAAGTGTTAAACTCACAGCACTATAAACACTCTCAGAGCACTGAAGCATCTGATCAATATGCAAACACTCTCCACATCATTTACCTGAAGATAGTCGCTCAATAACAGACACAAAATACAATTACTGAAATGAGAAAAATGAATCTTTTTTTATAATATTATATATTTTAATAGCCAATTTGTTATAAATTATATCAGACCATTCACTTCTGAATGCATATTCAAAACCAACTTTAGTATATTATCCTGACTCTCTCCTGAGAGACTTTGAGAATATTTTTGACTGTAGTTGGATAGAAACACAACTGTTATTTCCTCAATTTTATGCCAAATCCATGGATTTTCCTGCAGGTTTTTAACAGACATGAGGATCATCACACGTGTCTCTGTCAATCACTGAATCAACTGAGTTTGATTGTGAGTCGCATCACATGATATAAAATGTTTTTTTTTTCCCAGAAATTCAGGTTTGTGCTTAAGTAATAATGCAGACTGCATGAAGCAGATTAAGTAAAGTAATGTAATGTCTGCTGTGAGTGGATGTGTTTGTTGGAGACTCAGTTGATGTGTGTTTGTGCAGTTAGTGAAGCGTTCAGGAGGTTTTTGTTCAGCTGCTCTATTAGTTTCTATCACTGTGGTGGACTTTCGGCAGCGGCACCAAACTGGATGTTGGCAGTAAGTAAATCATCATTTAATATTATTAATACAACAACTGACTTTGTTGCTCTATAGAAAGGATGCACTTTTCTGCTTATTCATATGTTTTAATTTTATTTTTAATTCACATTAAATGTTTGACAGTCAACATTGTAAAGGTGTTTTTGTATTGTCATGGCATGTTTGATTTCATCCAGTGAACTATAATCATTTCTGTTATTTTAAGTTGATTTGTTATATCAAGCTTCAGCTCATTTTTTTCCCCTTATTGATAATTTAATTCTAAATTGTGAAAAATGTGCACAGAAATAAATTTACATTCTGTTGTCATTTTGGCACCACTTTGATTTTACTTGAAAATTTAAGACAGTAATTAAACTTACATTTTCAGATTAGTGTGTTGATTTTTTAAGTAAAGCCTGCAGATATTTTCAAACTGGAAATTATGGTTGCTTGAATGTATTTTTGTTAATATTTGTTAAAGGTATTTTTCTTGTTATAGTAAACATCCCAGACAAAGGTTCTATTTTCTATTTTTTTTAAATAAACATTTGTACCAAAATTGATCATGCTGTCATCAAAAATTGTAATGAACTCCTGCAGTTATGATTATTCACATCTGATCTTTGATGCTTTTAATCAAAGTGACTTACATTCAAGCTGATAATAAAAATGACACTTCAAATCAATATATTTTACCAAACTTTCATTGCTGATCACATGCTTTGTAAAAATTCATTCTGGTGACTTGCAGTTTAATTTTGTTAAAATGGCCAAGAAAAGCTATAATTGTATTAATTTTTCATATATTTTTTATAAACTTGAAAGGAGAGAAATGCTTTCTTCTTCACTGAGTTGACTGTTGTGTGTTTGTCAGGCGTCACTCGTCCTAAAGTGAGCGTCCTGCCGCCCTCCAGTGCAGAGATCTCCTCAAAGAAGACAGCGACACTGGTGTGTGTGGCCAGCAAGGGCTTCCCGTCAGACTGGAGCCTGAGCTGGAAGGTGGACGGGAGCAGCAGGTCTCAGGAGAGCAGCGCTGGGCTCCTGGAGAAGGACGGTCTGTACAGCTGGAGCAGCAGCCTGACTCTCTCTGAGCAGGAGTGGATGGAGAGCGTCTCAGTGAGCTGTGAGGCCACACGGAGCGGCCAGCCTGCGCTCACTGGACACGTGACGAGACAGCAGTGTTCAGAGTAGATCTGCTGCTCTTCTCACTCATGTCTCACATGGAGACTAACAGCACATGAGCGACTCCTTCATTCTCCACATCCAGCTTCAGTCGCTCGCATCTCCATATGCTCTGCTTTGTGTGCTTCATACAAGACTATATGTGTGCTTTATCATTCTGTCGTGATTCTATTAAAATTTGCTCAATAAATAAAATACAATTGTAACTTAATGTCTTTGTGTTCTTTTTTGTCATTTTTGTTTTGGGTCTTTCTTTGGATCACGGCTTTAACTCACATTTAAAAAAAAAATTTAGAAACTTAACTCAATGGACCATGAATAAAACACCTGCAGATACACGATGAAACAACATGAACTTCACAAATATTAGACAAATTTAATAAGATTAAGTAGGTTAGATTAACATTTAGCAAGTGTAAAACTGAATAAATGCTTTATATTTTATTTTTAATATCCATGAAAATTCAAACTCAAAGTTTCACTGTTTGATCGGTTAAACGCTCTGAACTGGATCAGTTTCACTTCTGCTCATGCAGTGATGAGACAGTTATAGAGTTTGAGTGGTAGTTTTATAAGACTTACACAGCTT